AAAAAATCATCTTTTATGTTTTATAAAATAAAAAACAAAACAAAACAAACAAAAAAGTATAAGTTACTTAAGCTTGAAATAGAAATTTTTTGAGAAAAATACTAAGTATTAACCTAAGTAATTAAAGTCATGGAATAACTGTCTCTATTTTGGGGGGAATTAACTAGAGGAGTACTTGGGATTGAGATAGCTGGTATGCAAACTGATATTTTCAGTGGCATTATTCATTGGGAGGGTAAGAGCCTGTTTTTAATCCTGGTTTTCACATTTCACCAACACTGTCCATATATGTTAAGTTCAAATTTACACAAAAATATGGTACATACCATGATTAGATTTGAATTCAAAGTATGATTAGATTTAAATTCCAATATTAATCGAAACTTGAACAAATACTATATTATAAAAATGAAACTAAGGTTGATTCAAATTCTGATTCAAGAAGGATTTATATTTTTTGTAATACCTGTGTGAATTTTTCTGATTAAACTAATCTGCATAATATATAAAGTGGTAGCCTAAGAGGATGAGAAGTAGGAAGGTGAAGAGATTGTGGTGGTTTATGTGTAAGAACTAGCTAGGACAATTTGAAAGCTGTTCACAGGGCCAGGGAGATAGTTCAGTAGGATAAGTGCCTTCCTGGCAAGTGCAGGGTCCTGAGTTCAATCTCCAGTACCACTAAATAAATAAATAAATAAATAAATAAATAAATAAATAAGAGAGAGAGGGAGAGAGAGAGAGAGACAGAGACAGAGAGAAAAGAAAGAAAGCTGTTCACAAATTAACACAGTGTGCTTTCTTTGTATCTTTTCATGTTATTTCACAAGGTAATGAAAACATTACCACTTTGATACTTGTAGATAAAAAATTAATACTCATAAGACAGGGGAAAGTGTCTATAAATCTTAGTTGTTAAAATATACCTTATTAATTAACACAAAGATATTAAATTAAGTCTTACTTGATTTGTTTAGAACACCTTATTGTTCAGATCACATTTCTGAAAAAAATAAATAAAAT